AACCCAAACCAGTCTATGATTTTATAGGTGTAGGACTAAAGTGTTAATGATACCTTTTGGATAGTAGCGTGATTTATGGCTTACTTCTAGATTTTCTTTTTATTAAACAAATTTAATAGCCAGCATGAAATAGAGTGGGTTTAAAAAGGCATTAGGCTAGGAAATCTTTGATGCCACGGAAACATAGATGGGTGTCACTTGTTGATATACACCTTTGTGCACTCCATGTTATGTGGAACTTGAGAATGCTGTAAAAGGGTGATTATCTGAAGGTGACGTGAAAGTTTTCCAGCCTGTATCTTGGTCGTGGCTCAGTCAAAATTTTGCACTTAAGGTGTTTTTAGTAACTGTAGCTGGTTGAAGCAGGTAGTAATGTTTGGTTTCAGGACAGACGTTTCAGTTCATTTATGGGATGCAAAGAATACAACAATACATTGTGTCATTTTGTAGCTAGGGATACAGAAATTGTGTTTTAGGGCGAACAAAATGAAGTGATAGTGATGGACAGTACGTCAGAAGGGGGTTGTGCTTCGTATCGATCTAAACATGTTTACGCAGTGACACCTCTTAAACACGTACAGGCGTGTTGGATAAGCGAGTGTAGTGCCCTTGGGCGCCTGACACAGGAGCCGTGACGCTGTACCGTTTGAAAGCTGGGCAAAGCGGCAGCAGGTTGTAGCGTCAGGTGAGAGCTGCTAAACCACTTCGTGCTGTAAGTTGAATGTAGTTTGCTACGACTTCGCAGCTGCGATGGGTACTGCGTTGTCATACTGGGGTAAGTCACCCCAGTACCAGTTCTGTTGGGCTGACAAAAGTAGTTCTCAAGTCAAGCTGCTTAATGCAATCAATAAAGCTTCTTCTCATGGCTAAAATTCCAACTCCAGTTTTTGAGTTTTTTAGGAATAGTAACAACAAAAATGACAGTGGAATTTGTGCACGTAAAATAGTATTAACGTTGTTATTTTTTTCTTTGTATTCCTTTATGTCCTTCACTAGATGTCACTAGTAGATTTGGGAAAGAAACTTTTAGAAGCTGCACGAGCAGGTCAAGATGACGAAGTTCGCATTTTGATGGCAAATGGAGCACCTTTTACCACAGATTGGGTAATGAAAACTTTTGCAGTGTTCAGTAAATCCTCTTTTACTTCCTTCACTTGAAGAAGAAGATAGTATTATTGCAATTAAGCATTTATATTGCAAGGCTTGGGAGTTTCTTCTTGGAATTCTGCAGTCACATCATCTGATATCTAATTCAAAATGAAAATTGTCTGTTTCTCCATATGACCTCCTACTGATTTTAGTAGCAGACTGTGAGCGAGCTCATTCTGGTGGCTTTTAGGATGAACTATTGAGTAGTTAATGGGAGAAAGCAGCAATCATCTTCCTAGTTATTGTGCTTATGCATTTAGTGTAGTAAGAAAGTTGAATTAAGAAAGCAGTCCCGGCTACCTCATACGTGGAGCTGAGAGTTCCCTGATAGAGGGGCTCTGGAGTTGTCTTTTGGATGTGCTTGGTTTTGTATAGGTTGTATAGGGAGGTCAGGTACCAAAAATTCTAGGGCATTTACAAGCCCTTAAGAGCCTTAATCTACTTAGTGACCTAACTTTTAAGCTGACTCAGTTTTGAGCAGGAGATTGGATTTAAACGACTCCCAGAGGTCCCTCCCAATATTGGTGTGGTGTATGACCAACACTAAAAATGGGGTTAGGCCCCTTGAAACATCGCACCTCAAAAAGACACAAAAACCAGCACAGAACTCAGAAGTTTGCTTCCAGTGAGGTGTCTTAGTGTGGTGCTATTATTGAAAAAAAAACAAATTAAACAACTTCTTCGCCCCCTTCTTCATGCGCTGTAAAATCCTTGACAAATTCTTTCCTTAAGACTGCAAGGGAAAATGATTTTGAAGTGGTGGGCTGACACCTGAGTTTGATAGTTCCAGGGTAAGAAGAAATACTTCATACTGACATCCGCTTTTCCCATTACATTACAGTTGGGAACGTCTCCGCTTCATCTAGCAGCGCAGTACGGACACTACTCAACCACGGAAGTGTTGCTGCGAGCAGGTGTAAGTCGGGATGCCAGAACCAAAGTGGACAGAACTCCCTTACACATGGCAGCATCAGAAGGCCATGCCAGCATAGTGGAAGTCTTACTTAAGGTAAAGACTGCTGAAACAGGGTCGGAGGTGGGGATATTACAACGGTTTATGATCAGATACTTGCAATGTCCTTTTACTCACGAAAACAATGCTGAAATGGTGTGAATATGCCGTGTGTGTTGGGCGCATTGTTTTCCTGTTAAACTAATTTTAGCATTGAAATCATCATGATTTCGGGTGAATTATTTATTGCTGCTTCAAAATAAGACTGTTTCCTGATGTGACATTGTGTGAGTAACGACATAGAATCACGGACTGGTTTGGGTTGGAAGGGACCTTAAAGCCCATCCAGTTCCAACCCCCCTGCCATGGGCAGGGACACCTTCCACTAGACCAGGTTGCTCCAGGCCTCATCCAGCCTGGCAGAAGCAAGACATGTTATGTTTTAGGGTCTTTAATCCTTTGAGGTAAATAATTTATTGGGTCGCTAGATGGAAGTACTTTTCATAAGTCTGTAAATGTGAGATAACAGGACATTACTGCCGGAGAAAGACAATTTCTAGCTTTTACTGTGACCAGCATTACTTAATTTTGACACTTCTAATGACATAGCTTATGCAATGATTATGTTTGTAGCACGGCGCTGACGTCAACGCAAAGGACATGCTCAAAATGACTGCGCTGCACTGGGCTACCGAACATAACCACCAAGAAGTTGTAGAACTCTTAATAAAGTACGGGGCGGATGTTCACGCTCAGAGTAAATTTTGCAAAACGGCGTTAGATATTGCGATAGACAATGGAAATGAAGACCTTACAGAAATACTACAGGTAACTCCTGACTCGTGATGTTAAGGGAACGTAGAGCAAAGTCCTTGTTCACACTTGGGATGTGCAGACTTTTTAATATAGCAGCTGTGAGACCATGTGTGGCCTGATAATGCTAAACTCCGGCCTAGTTCAGAACATGGGAATGATACTAATGTTAGTAAACATTATTTGGCCAAAGAGCATTTTCACCACCTACAAAATCAAGGAGTAGTATCCTTTATTTTCTGTGAGTAATGTAGTACACAGAACTAGGTGGAGCCTTCACAAGCAAGGTGTAAACTTAACTCCCTACTCTGCCAATAGATTTGACTGTACCCCAGTGTTCAGTTAGCTTCACATATAGGGGTTAATTTCCTAACACTTGGGGATCAGGAGAGGAAAGAAGAGATGGCAATTTTTCCAGTTAGAGAAACGAGGATTGAATTGTTGGAGAAGAGATTGGGATTATAACAGCTACCTACATGGAAACGTGTGCTTACTTGTAAAGGCAGGTTGAGTGCTGAGCATTACTGAGGGAAGAATAGGAAGCAAATGAAAAATACCGTTATGCTGCTGTATAAATCTGTTCTTCCCCTACATCTTGAGCTGTACGAGCTTCTGGTCTGTTCCTTTAGTCTCCTCTTCACTGCAGAAAGGATATAGTAAATAAAAGCCAAAAATAATTCCAAGAAAAACAAAAGGGAGAATGCCAGCTACAATTCATGCAAGTACTAAGCTGTCAGAGCTGGTTTTCATGGCATGTGGCTGCCACAGCAGTCTTGGTTCTTGAGGCCTCTAGTTTAGATACTTGAGCCTGCGCATCCACAAAAGGGCCTTGTCTTTATGTGGTGCTCTTGGTTTACAATAAATGGTAAGGAGAAGTAGCAGTGTACCACTGTTCTCCTTCACTTCAGTGGGCTTTTGTCTGTTGTGACATGTATATTGCCCAAGTATAATGAGGGAGATCCTTCCCATTTGAGTGAAATGTGCAATAATTCTAGTTCTTCAAGAAACTTCTTTATACCTTTTTCTCTTAGATTGCAATGCAGAACCAAATCAATACAAATCCAGAGAGTCCGGACACTGTGACAATACATGCAGCAACACCACAGTTCATCATCGGACCTGGAGGGGTGGTGAACCTAACAGGTCTGGTATCTTCTGCAAATACATCAAATGGAACAGGTATTTAGATGCCTATAGGGTAGCTACTGGGATTTTGTTCTTTAATTGATTTTCACCATTTAGTAAAAAGGCTTGAGGAAAAACAGTGGTAAGAATTTAATAGTTACCATGTTCCTCATCAGTGTTTTCTGTGTGTTGTAAATATCTAGGTGCTTAAACCAGCAGTCTTCAAAGAGTTATAATCAATTATAATGAATTATCAGACGCTGTATTTGCCTAACAAACTTGCCTTCAGAATAGCACTTTGGTTTAGCAGAATGTTGCTGAGAACAGCATGTTAGAAGCTTCAGTGAATTAATAATAATAAAAAAGGACTTTGCTGGTTTTAAATTTATCAGATGACTATTTTTTTTCATCCTACTAGATGAAACGGGAGTGTCTGCTGTGCAGTTTGGAAATTCATCGACGTCCGTACTGGCCACGTTGGCGGCTTTAGCAGAAGCGTCAGCTCCCCTGTCTAATTCTTCAGAAACACCAGGTTAGAAACCCAAGGCGTTTAACCTCATTTCGTAAACGCAAAGTACATAACTGGCGCTTTTGGAGATGCAGCTCATACAGAAATGAGATAACAATCTTCCTCCTTTCAGTGTGAACAGAACTTTTCCCTTCCTTTCACCTGGGAGGTTGCCAGATGCGTAGGTAGAGTCATAGCACTGGTGTTTCTGTGCCGAATGCAAGCAGCCTTGGCCTTGCTGCAAGCGAACGTGACGTGACAGAGGAGATTGAATTCACATCTTTCTGCATACGGTCTTGGTCTCGTTGCACTTGCTGGGAGAATGTTTCTTTCAATGCTTCCTTCTGCCAAGTGTTGGGAAAGGGCCCCCAGGGTTGCTTGCATATACGTTTTTTTTCAGCAGTTTCCGTAACCTTTCATCCAAAAGGCCTAGGAATATTTGGTGATCTTAATGCGCAGTCTGCCCGTTAGCATGTCTGTGGGTCGTCTTTTCAGCTTTGAGGTGTTCCACTTGCGTTTGTAACAGCAGGTGGTGATAGGAATGTCCCGCGTCAGGCGAACGCAAGCCTGGCAGCGCATCACTGTCCTCCTAGGAAGAAGCAGCCTGCATCCCGGGCTGCAGCTGCACGCACGCTCCCTTATTCCATAAGACCATGCCAAGAACCCAGAAAGGCACAAGGAATTCCATTGCCCCCAGTTCCCAAGTTTTGCATTCCTCTTTCTCAGCACAAAACCCCCAGCCCTGTGGATCTTTGCCACTTACTGCTTTGCCTGAAGAAAGCTTCGGTCAAGGTTCCATGCTCTGCAAGCTGCCCTGGATATCCTTCTCCATTCTTTCTGCATAATGGGGTACTTGCTTTGTGTACTTTTCCCCTTTTCTTCATAACAGCATGCAAAGTGAAGAAAGAAACAGCAGTCAGGAGTCTTTAGAATCAAAGTGGATTGTAACAACCAGTCATTACCACTGACGGGGTTTGAGAGAGATAAGCCAGGAAAAGATCCCTTGTAATTTAAACAAGTTGTAATACCATGTAGGATAAAATGTGATCAAAGGCTTCCAAACTATTGCAAGTTACTTTATCTAGAGGAAGCCACTGAACTTCTGTTTCAGATTGGATTTTCCACTTGTGGTGTATGTTAGTATCTTGCCATGGCATAAAAAAATCACATAAAACTAGTCCTTAGGAGGTCAGGTGCCACGTTAATTCTTCGTTGGCGGGCTCTGGGACCCAGAAATCCTCTTGTCTCTGAAGTAGCCTACATGGTGTACTTGTATAAAAACTTCTGTTACTCTCAGCACCCCCAAAGGTGTTTTGGGGGATATCTGGCTTTCTAAAGAAAGCCGTGAAGTATTCCCGCATACTTTACTTGCCTGGTGCTGTTTTGCATCCGTTGCTCCCTGGTTTTCTCAGGCACTGTGGTAAGTCTGTAGCTGCTGGAGTTTTACAGTAGGCCAGATTGCTTTTTTGTTTAATTAGTGTTTGTTACACTGACATGTAGCGCTGTAGCCTCATTTCCCAGCTGGCTTGGGATTCTGAGCTCTGGTGAGCGATGCGGTGGGTAGCAAGAGGAGCCTAACTTCAAAGCCAGCGACTGGAGATCCCCATGGAGAGCAACAGCCCTCTGACAATCAGGGATTTAGGATGCTTACGGTAACCTGACTTTTTTCTGAACGTGTTTCTAAGGAAATGCATTTCTTTTGGGTTTTTTTGTTGGTGATGGTCAGTATGATAGATTTGCCAGAACTGATATACTTTGCGTGGCCAAAGTATCTTGGGTACTTAAAAACTTTCACAGAATTCAGCTCAGCAGATGACCTCATTCTTAAGGGGACAGTTTTCACCGAAAATGTAGAAGAGATCCGTACTCTTAGACTTGCTGGCACAACAGCTGCATCCCAACATACACCTGAGTTTTCATCTCTTAAGTATTTTGAAGTCCTGCAGGATTTTTTTAATACAGCTTTTTTTCTTCTACTACTTCTCGAAGCAGTACCTATGTACAGCTGTATGATTTTTGGTATTTAAATACTGCCGGTGAAGTGGACGATGCAAAACCAAGGTGCAGTGCCTTTCATGACAGAGGCAGCTGCGGCTGTTTTCAGGCAGTTGACATATTTCAGTGAAGCTCAGATCTAACTGTAGGAGAGCGGGGACTGCGTGGGGTTACAGAGCATTAAACGTGTACCCAGGACTCGGTAGTAGATGGACTGTGGTAACTGTGTATGAGGAAATTGTTCTTTTATATGGAATACCTTCTTTTTAGGTAAAATCTCCCCTTTTCTTCCAAGGTCTGAAGAAGTCCTAGTAACGCTTCTTCCAGAACCAAAAGCCCAACATTGAGTTTGACGCTGAAAGATCAGAGCTGTGTGCCACAGCAGCCGGGGTTGGCCCTTGCATCTTGGAATTCTTGGCGACAGCGGTCTTTTGCTGCTGAGCCTGAACTTGGGAGCCAAACCCAGTGCAATACAACACCACTTATTCATGTAGGACTTAGTGTTTTGGTTTCCTGAGTAAACACTCTATGAATATTTAAGCAGTGCTGTAGGACAGTAATCTGGGAACATAAAGATCTTCAGAAGGCAATGACTGCAGTCATTATTCCAACTACAGAGTGATTTGTGTGTGTGTGCTATGTTGTAATTAACTTCAAAGATGAAAGCTTCAGGGTTTTATCTACCTGCTCTCATCTCAAGCATCACAATACAGTCTATAGGATTTTAATTTCATCTCTGTAGATAGAAAGCACTCTAATGTCCCTTATTTAAATCCCAGGCTTTGATTTTACCCAGACAAATTGAAAATAAAACAGAGTTAGTGTGCTTGAAATTCTTTGATTGTGCTACTAGTGGTCTTGCTCTTTGTCTCAGTGGCTTGGGTGTTTTTGTTTGTTTGGTTGGTTTTTTTGTTTGGGTTTTTTTTTTGTTTTGGTTTGTTTGTTTGTTTTTTAAAATTGGGGGTGGTGGTGTGAGACCCCAGTTCCAGGGTATAGTGCAAGCTGTGGTATGGGTTGTAGGTTGAAGGCAGGCTTTCCCTTATCCTGCAGTGACTTAAGGGTATCACACAGAACTGCAAGAGCTCACTGCTGCACGCTCCTGATCGGATTGTGGGTTTGAAATACTTAGTTGAGCAGGGTTTTCTTCCTTTCACTTTTACCTTTAAAATTATATATGTACAAAGTTTATTTCACTTTTTTTAGCTTTCTCCTTCAAAGGTGTAAAAATGCCAACGTTGCAGGACCTTTCCTTTAGCCCTGTTTTACGCTTTGTGTAAGCAGCAGAGTTGTGACAGAGACAGCTAAGGTTCTCTAGTGGTCTTTCCATGTCTTGAGGACCGTTATGGTAAGCCAAGAGGTCGGGGCCGGGTGCTGAGGTACACCTGGCAGGGCACTGCTTGAGGAGTAGCTTCAAGCTAGTAGTGTTTCAAGTTTAAATGTATATATGTTTTTTAAAATTCTGCTGTTGGTGTGACTTAATCCAGCTTGTCTACAGTGGGAAAGTTACTTGTGTTCTTAAAACAACTCTTGTTCCCGCTGCTGCGCGAACACTGAACCCAAGGCATCACTTTGGAGTGGGGTGTATCCAGCAGGTGAGATGCTAAATAAATGATGCTGTTGAGCAGCGTGTAGCAGGACAGAGCTGCACGTGTAGTTTGAACGTTAGTGCTTTGTCTTGGCCTGGTGAAACCGTTGTTTCCATTAACGGTACAAGACGTAGCAATGTGTTAATTGGGTGTGCGAGGGGGTCACGTTTTAAAAGACTGGGCAGAAGATTTTTTTCAGCTGTACAAAAAGACATTTTTTTCAATCCTATATATATATGAGATTGATATTCATGATTGATTTACATATATAAAAATTCATAATATATATATTTATCTATAAAAATCAATCATCAAGCATATATATAAATCAATCGGTCATATACATATGTATATATACATACATACATACACACACACATATATATCTCAATCATAAAGCTTGGTTTATAAATTGATTGAATTCCTTTCCTAATCTGTTGACAGTTGTGGCCACGGAAGAGGTGGTGACTGCAGAATCTGTGGATGGTGCTATTCAGCAGGTTGTCAGTTCTGGAGGTCAGCAAGTTATTACTATAGTTACAGACGGCATTCAGCTTGGTAACCTGCATTCGATTCCGACCAGCGGAATAGGGCAACCCATCATTGTGACCATGCCAGATGGACAGCAAGGTGAGTGGAGGCTTGGACGGCTCGAGCGTGAGGAAGTACTTGAGTTGTAATAATGAATCGCTAGGTGCAAATAGCTTGGGCAGTTTTCTGTAGTTATCAGTTTAAATACATCTTTGAATACTTAACGCTGCAGAAGGCTCAGACACGTGAGCTCCTGCAGTTCGGTGAGTTACCACGTGTCAGCTGAGTGTGCACGAGGAGAAAGAACTGGGGGAGTTACTAAACCGTGCAGAAGAGAAATGGGGCATTTAAGGGAGAAGCGATAGCTACTTGCTTTGCCTCCAGTAAGCTCAATTCCTGCAAACTTGTTATGAAAGCTAGATGGAGCAGAACAAAAGCCTTTTTCCAATACTTAGGCTGTTGCCTTGCCAGAAGCATTGTGGAGAGGTGAAGCTTGGATTTAGACCTCTGATGCGTAAAGCAAACCACGCAGATCCCATGGACCGCGTTCTCAGCAGAACAAAAGCGGAGTCATAGAATCGCAGACTGGTTTGGGTTGGAAGGGACCTTAAAGCCCATCCAGTCCCAACCCCCTGCCATGGGCAGGGACACCTTCCACTAGAGCAGGTTGCTCCAAGCCTCATCCAGCCTGGCCTTGGACACTTCCAGGGATGGGGCATCCACAGCTTCTCTGGGCAACCTGTCCCAGTGCTTCAGTCTTACATGTCTGAGGTTTCAGAGGAGCAGGGGCAGAACCAGCGCAGCCAGGGTGACACCCCTTGTCCCCCTGGGCCGCGTGTGCTTTGTGGGAGTGTAGTACTTGCCATCTTGCGACACGTGTGCGGTTTGGGCGGTTTCTTTGAAAGACGCTGTGCCACGGCTGTGTAGATGGAAGTGATTCCTTCTCTGGTCTCCTCATGGGGACTCCCAGAGCGGGGCTTGATGAGCTGTACGCCGGGGAGAGGCGGTTCGGTTCGCAGCCTGCGCGAACAAGCACAGCACGGTACCAGGAAGCACGAAGCGTGTGGGGAGTCACTGACGTGACGGTCACAACTCTTGCATGCCAGGTGGTTACCTGAGTAAATTAGAGTATGAATTTCTTTAGACCACTCATTTTTTTTCCTCCAAGGTTGATAACTGCTGCGTTTTCAGATTACCTGAGGTGTTCTAATGAATCAAACCCCAGTTTCTACTTAGTACTTGCTCAGGAAACGTTGCTCAGGAGGTGATGTGCTGCGTGAGCTGCAGAACTGACAGCCTCTGCTGCAGTCCGCTCCCCCGTCTGGTTACGCTGTGAGAAACAGCAGTGACACTCCAGAGTGACAGCTAACTAGCGTAGACCTCTGCCACAAAGGATTTAAAAGTTCTTGAGGAGCATACAAGCAGCCAAAGTCTTTAGTCATTTCTCCCTCTACTGACTTTATAATGCACTTTATTTTTATAGCTGTGTTTTCATAAGCGAAGGTCTTTGCGATTTATTGCTGTTAATAAAATCACTTAATTACATGTGAATTTTTATATAGTGCAAATACCGTTTGGAGCGAAGGTGTTCATGTGTACAAATCCCTTTTCAGTATTAACAGTTCCGGCAACAGACATTGCTGAAGAGACCGTGATAAGCGAAGAACCGCCAGTGAAGAGACAGTGCTTCGAGATCGTTGAAAATCGCGTGGAGTCGGCGGAAATCGAAGTAAGGAGCTTGTTACGCGATGTGTGTTAGGCAGAGCGTTCGGCCCCGAGTATCTGGCTGTGGCTTTTTTTGTCATTCTAGAGTTTCATTCCTGTGTTAACCCAGAGAGAATTGCGTGAAACGGAGTCTCTCCTGTCGCTGCAGCTGATCTTTTACAAAGCTGTTGTGAAAAGCCTATGGGAGGGTTGTTCGCTTCATCCTCTGGTCACGCACGTAGCAGTGACGCTTGTTGAAGCCTTTCAGAACTTAATTGTCTTTCCTTTAAGATCACCAGGCGGTTTTTAAAGCCTGGTACCGATACGTTATGGAGTAGCTTGACCCCTTCCGCTAGCAGCGAGGGAGAGTGCTGTGCCCCATGACCACATGCTTGTCCTGATGGTGAGATCGTATTTTTAGCGGTGTTTCCTTTCCATTCATGGTATCTAGATAACTGTTAATGGAAATGTGAAACAGTGAGATTCTCTCTGTCAGTTTTTATCTTCCCCCTTTTTCCTTTTTGTTAAGTTCTGGAGCAATTGACGCTTACGTATCTCTGCAGCACCCTGTTGTTTTTAAATTACAGTGCAGAAGACCCAAAACCACCGAGAGCTTTTCTTTTTTATAGATGACAAATAGATGTAGCCGCTCAATTTAAAATTACAGCTTTTTTTTTTTACATGAACCGCAGTGGGTCAGCCATCTCATTCCTCCTTCTGTTACTCCGGGCTGTGTTGACGGGTTTTGGTCAAAAGTTCATGAAAATTGCTGTCTGCCTTGACCAGGCTGTAAGTTCTCATTTTGTCAACTCCACGGTTTTTCATTCCTCAAAGGTTGTATTCTTCAGCTTCTGTTCATATTATCGCATTGTGCCTAACTGAATAATTTTATTGTGCAGTGTATGCTGTATGTTACCCATGTCTGAGAACAGTAATTACCACCTTTCATCGCTTGCTTTTCCTGTCCCTGAGTTGTCACATCAAACACTTCTGGCCTTGGCAGCTTTGTGGTCATTACAGATTATCATGACAGTTGAAATTTTCTTGCTGCTTTTTTTTTTTTTTAAATGTATGACTGTTTACAATAAAATAATTTCTTTTGTTCACACTTTTACACATCTGCCTGAATTATTCCTGAAGGAAATTACGTTTCCTTAACACTTTAATAATTCTGTTAGGCGAAGGAAAAAAATCTGGGCAGGTTAAGGAATAAATGGAGCTGTTCCTAATTCTGGATAGTTGGTATAAAAGTATAAATAATTCTTTCAAGGGGATTACCAGTTTCAATTCTGTATTTTAAACGGACTTTTCAAATGCATAAAGACAGCTCACTTCAAATTTCATCGTTGTAAAAGGTGGTAGATAATTGAATTTGGAGGGAGCGGGACTGCTCCCCTCATTAAAGTACTTTTTTAGTATAGAAGGCCTTGGTTTCTTCGCCTCTCTGCTGACTCATCCCTGTATTTCGTTACGAAGAGTGGATTTCGCAGCTAGGAGCACTTCCTTTAGCTCTGTCAAATTCCAGGCCTGTGAACTGTAGCGTCAGTCTTCAGCTGAACATCCTCCCGTTCGCGTGAGGCGACGCTCC